TCAATGTGGTATCTGAAAAAAGGCTCTGTGGCTGCTGAGGTTAGAGGAAACACAGGCAGTGAAAATTGATGTTGAGTCAGTCACGTTATTGCCCTAAGATCCATTAGCTAACTTCCTTGTGTCCCAGCTTTTTTTTTTTTTTTTTAACCTATAAAATGAAGAGATTCCCCCTCGCTAAGGAGATTAACTAAAAATCATACTTTTAAAATGTTGAGCAAATTGCCTGGATCTTGCGTGATCAGTAAAAATTAGTTTTCCTTGTCTTCTCACAAAGCTCCTTTTCCTTCACTTCTTTCTGAGTTAAAGCCATGCAGTTTTATGATTGATGGCAGAAATAAAGTGCACCTAAGAGATAGGCAGAGACCTGAGACCAAAATTTCCTCAAGAGAGGCAGTGGTGAGATTATGAGCTTATCTCCAATCCCCTGCTCCATGATTTACTATGTACTTGTAAGGGCTTGGAAAATCAGGTTGCCTATCCAAAGAAAGACCACGTGAAGAGAAGCAAAAAGAAATGTCTGCTGAGTGTTCATTTCTCTGAGTCTGTTTTCTCATCTGTAGCATGGGTAGATAGTTTCTGTCTTTTCTGCATCAGGAAATTAAATTATGAGGATCTAATGAGGTAAGGAATGTGAAAAACATCTCCCAAATGTAGAACATTCTAAAAAACATAATCCATTTTTATCTGGGAAAACCCACAAATACAAAATGAACCACAATGAAATAATGTGTCTTGACCTGAACAATCACAGATCGATCCTCCTACAAACCAGAAGCAAGACTGTGAATTTAAGTTACGCCAGTTCTGGTGTCAGAACTGAAACCAGTAGACCTCAACAGGTGAAATGTGACAGATGAGCAGTTTCCTCTTACGACTTTTAGCCACTAACTTAACCCAAACTCCTTAATTCTCAAAGTTCCCTTTTAAGAAAAAAGAAAAAAAAAAAAAAAAAACAGCTATTTCTAAATGTGAGTCAGGAAAATAATTCGCTGAAAGCTGGACCCTGGACCCTAGTAGGTGCTATAAGCCATAACTTATGAAAGATAGTCACTCATAATTCATGCTGTAATGGGTGACAAGGACTATGGCTTGCTAACATAGCAATGGGTATTAGGAAAACCAGTCCTTGCTATTCCTCCAGCACAAGTTCAATTCTGCCTCAGGGTCTTTGCACACACCGTGCTCTCTACTGAAGCTCTCTTCCCAGATTCTCACATGGCTTCTCCTTCACTTCAGTGAGGTCTCTGATGGTCAGAGAGGACTTACCTTACCATTTTATCCAATAGAACAACCTCTTATCATTCTTTAGCCCACTGGTTATCCAAACATCGTCCTCCCTCTAGCAGTATGAGTATCACCTGAGAATTTGTTTGAAATGAAAATTCTGATCCCCTACTTAAGAATGCTGAATCAGAAACGTTGGAGGATGGGGCCTAGAAATCTGGATTTTAACAAATCTTCCGTGTGATTCTGATGCAAGTTGAAGTTTAAGAACCACTACTTTAGCCCTTTACTCTGTTGTACTACACAGTCCTTATTACCAGCTGACATTATATTAACTGTTTGTTTCTTCTCAGATTTATTGTCCAGCTCCACTGCTGGAATACAAGCTCTGTATTGGAGCTTAATTATGAGAGGGTATGTAGAGTCGCTATATTAAAGACTATATTAGAGGAGAAAGACTTGTTCACTAAGGTATCCCCAACACTCTTCAAAATAGTACCTGGCCTAATGGTGGCCCTCAAAAAGGACTTTGAGATGAAATAATGATTCGCCACTACAGCATTGGCACAGCCCATCAGAAACAAAATATAATGCAGAACACGAATATGGATGCAGCATCTAAATTTCTATCCAGGTGACAGGAACAGATGACCTAGAAGACTTTTGGGGCCTTCTTCAGGAATTATGTCTTTCATTTTATCAAATTTTACCAAGTTAGATTTGTTAAAGGTCCTGTAGTTTGCAAATGCTACACTTGGGGCCAGGACCCAAATCTCAAAGTTCTTGTACAGACCATTTACCATTACATTCAGAGTAGGGTTTCAGCAATGACTATAATGTTAATAGCATGGTGCCAAGAGATCATAAAAGTTTGGGAAAGATGGGGCTTTAACATATTTTCAGCAGTTTGTGTGTGTGTGTGTTTATTTACTTTGTGGATTCTTATTATCTTTAATTTGCTAATTTGTTTTGCAATCTCTAAGTTGAAAATGCTTTAGAATGCAGTAATTCCCAAGTTTTGGATCAGAAAGTCCTTTTTTATACCTTGAACAACCTTGGGAAACTAGTGAGTTCCACGAACACTGCTGAACTCACCAAATTTATAGACATTTGACTTTCCTCCTTGAGAAAACAGACAGTAATATGCTATCTGTGACTGTTATCAGTTAGCTTTTACTGCATAACAAAACCACTCCAAAAATTAGTAGCTTAAAATGGAAATCACTTGTTTTTCATGAATCTGTAAGTTAGCTCGACAGTTCATTAATTTGAGGTTGGAAAATCTATGGTCATCTCACTAACATGTCTGGTGGTTGGCAGACCCATCAGCCTTGGGGGCCCTCAGCTGGAATAGATCAGCCTTTTTCCTCATCGTCTTTTATCTTCCAGCAGAGTAGTCAGGGATTCTTACACAGTGGTCTCAGGGCCCAAATATCAGCAAGAGAGTGAACTCTAAAGAAAATGCACTATTCAAGTCTCTGCTTATGTCACATTTACTAAAGTTCTATTGGCCGAAGCAAGTCACATGTAGAATGTCCAGCTTTAAGAGAAGGAAAAATAGGCTCCACCTCTTCAGGGAAAGATCTGCAACGTCATGTTGCTAGGATATGTTTAGAGGCAGAAGCCAAACATTTGGCTTGAGAAGTTTAAATGAGAGCAACCATAGGCCTCTTTTATTCCTCTCTTGGAATTGAGTAACATCTTCAAAGGGGTTCTCGACTGTTGCTGGTTCTTTGCTCAGCTTAAGGGATTCATCACTATACCAGGAATTTTTCTGTCTCAAGATTAGCCATAGTGCTTCAGAGATTGGTACAAAAAGCTAAGAGCAAAGGCCTCTGTGTATGTGCAGTTGTGAGCTGGTCTCGGAAAAATGATGTCACATACTGACAGGTCGGGGCTTACCTTCATTTTATGTCACAAACATAGGAAAAAATAGACTGCGGCCAAATTATACAATGTATGTGTGCATAGAACAATTGTGCAGAGTGTAGTCACCTTATCACAGAAAAGGGAAGGACACGTGCTTTGATAATCTCAGTACAGTTGACAGTCAGTACACCTTGAGTGGGTAGCTTTTATCTCACCCATGCAACGTTTATTGAGGGCAAAGTGTCAGAGGCCAGGGTCTGAAAATGTCATGGTAGAGAAAGCAAAATTATCTCTTCCTTTGTGGGCCTTTGAGTCAAATGAGATAGAAATACATCTAAACGTATATCAAGACAGCCTGGGCGACAGACTGAGAATCTGTCTCAAAAAAAAAGTATATCAAGAGAGATATAAAGAGACATGTGTACATATATTTTATATATATATATATATATAAATGGAGGAAAAAAATGTGATAGATAAGAGAAGGCAATGCATGAAGGTATTTAATTTACATGAAATAGTCATGGAAGGCCTCTCTGAGAAAGTAACATTTCAGTTAGGAGTCAAGTGGAGCAGAATATATTATTATATATGTGATATATATATTAACATATCATTTATATATTGTCTATATATGTGATATATAAATGATTACTATATCATTATTTTGTGTATATATACATTATATATGATGTGTATATATACAAACATGTATACATATACATTACACTTACACACATATATAAATACACAAACACACACACATACACACACGTATATAAATGAAATAGAAACTGGAAGTAAATCAGAAAGGACAGACTAAAGCAACAGGTAACACATAATTAAATGATGAGAGAATACACCAGAATGTGGCCTGAAAAAGAAGAGAACTAACATTCAAATCATTGTGAAAAATATAAAACCCTTTATCCTGAAGCCCCATCAATGTTTCCCCATTTTTCCTCTTTTATCATATTGCTGGATTTGAGTGAAACATAGTTTAGAAGAACATCTGCTTTCAACTATCATCCTGTTCTACAGGCTGTGATTTCTAAGCAGAATAAAAAGCAGAAGGATTGCATAGACTCTGTCAAGTTAAAGATCACATTTAACCATTAGTTGATGCACTATTGGAAAAGGGGAGAACACATTTCATGGTGTTTGGTGGTGCCACATTCAGATTTTACAGCATATTAAAGTTAGGAATAACAAATACCACAATGTTTAGAATGAACACGTGGTCATGATTCACTGTGATGTGATAGTCCATGCATGTGTACTTCCTAATGACATGTGGAACACAAAGGAACAAAATGTTTCCTCTCTTCTTGTATCCTAGGTTGAGTTCCTCCTTTAGGGTTTCTTTATTTCCACCTTTGAAAAGGATCTTGACCCAGTGTGTAAAGTTCAGACTGCCTCACTCCTTTTCATTTGTATTTGTATTGCAAACAGAGTTGTAGGTCCAGGTTTCTCAGTCTTAGCACTATTGACATTCTGGGCTGCATAATTCCTTATTGTGAGCGCTGTGTTTTGCACTGCAGGAAGTTGAGCAGCACCCCTGGTCTCGACCCACTAGATACCAGTAGAACACACTTCCCCTGACCCCCTCAGGTTGAGGCAACTAAAAATGTCTCCACAAATGTCCCCAGGGGCTAGAATCATCCCCAAATGAGAACTTCCTGTTCTACCTTCTGTTGTCAGAAAATTTGAATTTTGCTGCTGCTGCTTAAATAATTTTCTAGATTAAGAATCTGATGTCTGGAATGTTTTAGCACCTTATAGAGAATAGAGAAAAACATGGAGCTTATTAATAACATATATCACTTAATACATTTCTATCCTAAAACAATTCAAATCAGAACCTCAATGTTTTCCTCAAAATAGATGAAAAGAAAACAATTCTGAAGTATGACATTTCAAGTAATATATTTGTCGCAAAATGCCCAATAGACAGAAATAAATGTACCAAAAATAAGGTTATTTTTACAAATATTGCTGCAAAGAAAAACAAAGCGCATTTACTAATTATGAATCATCTACAATTCTTATGTTGGCAGTTAGTCCCCAGAAATGTAGCAAAGGAAACTGATAATCTAGGAAATGCACAGTACCCCTAGAATACATCTGAATATTTTATAGTATCACCTTGCTCCCTTATATGGAAGTCTCTGAATACAGAGCCAGTGTATTTAAATTTGTAACTCTACACTTCTTCCTCCCTCACCCACATGATACTCTATTACTCAGTGGAAACATTGCAACATAAAACAATTCATCTTTTCAGAATACATCAGCACTTAAAATAGTGTGATCAGATTGAAAGGACTGTGAAAAGGTTCATTTTCTCAGGTTAGGGATGAGACCAAGTAATGCATACTTACTACTACTGCCAACATCATAAAATCATGAGAGCAAAATGGACCTAGTTTACCTACTGGATGTTAGCTACACAATGAGGATAAATTAGCAGGGAGTTTTTAATGTGCCTACATGACCTGTGACTAGTTAGCAAAATGTTTACCTCCGAAATAAAAGCCCAAGTCAGTGGAACATTTACAGGTCATTAGAAAAGATAAATGAAAAACCTGTCTGACCCTAACCTAGACTTGACTACACACACTCATTGCCTATGGGAAATAAGCGCAAATCAGACAGCCTATCAAACAAAACTCATGTATTGTTAAGAGGGTCCTCACTAATATGTTGCCGTTCAGGGAAAGAAGATGTGGAATAATGAAGTAAAGTGAGATTTATTTTAGTTTCCTCCAAATTCCTTTCTATTTAAAACATTTTCCCATCTGTCATTAAGAGTTATCACCTTGGCAATAGCAAATGAGAAAGCAAGACTTACAGGGTATGTGTACATACATGAATACAAGGCAGTTGGCTTAACATTGTGCTTGCAACCATATTTAATTGAACAATGAATATATTTGAGTAGAATATACAGCATTATGTATTTCACCTTCTATTCATTTGTAGCAACCTTTTGGTAAGTCATCATTCAATAAAATAAATACAATTTTCTCTGAAATGTGAATGATAATTGAATAGATAGTTGAGTCTCTTATACCAATATATGAAAGCTCAGGAGGCCAAAGATTGAATCGTTTCATTCCTTTGGAACATAAATGTAAGAAAAAACACTCTCTGAGACTCTAGAGCCAAACTCCAAACAAATGGTCCCTTATGTTCTCCATTGGTCTGCTTACTCTTGTTTCATTTATATTTCTTGTCAAGTCTAGTTATCTGGTTTCATGGACGCTTGTAGAGCTGAAACAGCAATCTAAGAGCAGGTTGAAAGAAGACATACGAGAAAGGATAAAATTTGGTTGAGCAGCAAGAGATGTGTTCTTGAAAATTAAGGTTAATCTGCTGTAATCCTGGCAGCAAAGACCAGAAGCTCTAAGGCAGTCACATACCTATTTTGGCTATTACACTACAGTATCATAACAGGTAATCAAGTGATCATAACTGTCAGAGAATCAGAGTTCTGGATTGTTTGGGCCCTCAAAGTCTACTCTGGCTCTCCTTCACACCCTTTCTTTATTTCTTTATCTGTCAAGTGGTCTTCTTATCTATGTTTTCATACCCCTGAAGAATGGGAATGGGTTATGTTCTGGCTCATCCAAATAACTGAGAAAGAATTAGACAAAGCCAAGGACAGAACCCTCTGGCACTCTACAAGCAATATCTACCCAGAATGGCACCCATCCATTAATCAACTCAACACATTTTGGTATTGCCTGGTAAGCCTGGCTAGTCCAATATCTATGCCTGTACCATTTCTCCAATTTACCAATCTAGTAGTCATAACAATAAAGGAAATAGTTAGCTTTACCTACTCTCAGAGAACTCGTGCTGACTTGTAAGTTTCACTACTATCTCTTCTCGGGATCTATGACTGTCCCTTCAGGAACACAGCCCGGAAATATTGTTCAGGTTAATAAGTTCATAAGTCAAAAGGCCATGCTTATTTATCCCTTCTGAAATCAAGAGGAATTATATGATAACTTCAATCAAAAGAAAAGCTAAGTGGTATTTAAAAGCCCCTTGTTCACATATATAAGAATAAAAATGATATATTTTAGAAAAGTTTTCATCAAAAAGGGATTAAAATGAAAGTGTCGCATCTGAGGTAACCTTCACTTGGGTGGAAAATTTACTTACCAAAGATTCATCATCACTTAATAATCATGCCAGTTATAGGAAGTAATTCTGTAGATTGTTGGTTCCCAAAATGTGGTCCCCAGACCAGGAGCGTCATATCACCTGAGAGTCTGTTAAAAATGCAGACGCTTAGACCCCACCGAAGAACTGCTTACAGAATCAGTATCTCTGAGGATGAGGCCCAGCAATCTGTGTTAATAAGCCATCCAGTTGATTCTAGGGCACACTGGAGTTTGAGAGCCACTGTCACCGAAACTAAAATAGAATTAAGATTATAATGGTTAGCCTTCAAGCATTCCTAATATAAAGCTAATGGTAATGATGATGATGATAATTTTAATAGACAACATTTTCTGGCACTTACCTGTGCATGTAAGCCTTGTGCTAAGTACATTAGGCCCTATATCAATTAATTGTCAGTAGAGTCCAACAAAGTACTGCTATTCCTATTTTACAGATGAGATAATGAAATTGACAAAAATTAAGAAATTTGCCCAAGGTCAGCCATTACATTGCAGAGTTGAGATAACCATCCAGGTGTAGCTGATTACATACACACACCCCTCCACCCCTCACACACACACCCTCATTCTTCACTATGATGCCATGCTGCCTTCCAGAATCAAGAAAAAAAAAAAAACCTTCCCAACTTAAAATGCCTCTTTCCTGAGGACCTCATTAGGAAATATCCCCCTTGGGATGTTGGCACTTTCTCAGCAGCCAATTATCTGAACCTTCAGATTAATCCTGACCTTCTCTTCCAATCTCTTGGAGCTCTAGAGACAAAATTCCCATGTTAATATGAGATTAATTTTTCTCAAAAGTGAACCTGAATTTTTCATTCTTTCTTTATATACAAAAATGGGCCAGTGTCTTAATTATAAACTGGATTGAAGCTGAAAAGGACACTCACTGGATACCATCTGGATCTTTACTACTCAACGTGTAGTACCCAGACCATCAGTACCAATCTCATTCTGGAACATGTTAGCAGTGCAGAATCTCAGGTCCCACCCCCGACCTGCTGAATTAGAATCTTCATTTTAACAAGATCCTCAGGTGATTGCACACACATTGACACTCGAGAAACATTGGCTTATCTAGACATATCCTGAGGAAGATGAGATCCCAGGAAATTGAATGATCCATTCAGGGTCACAAATCCAGTTAAGTTGGAACTTACCCTCCCACTGAATATGTTTTTTTCTATATCCCTGCAGCTTTCAACAATGTTCCATAAAAATAATGTTACTGCTGCTGCTGTTGGCTAATGTTATTGAGCACTTCCTATGTTCTGGACATTGTGCTAATGACTTTATATGGATTATCTCATTTACTCTGTTACCACATTCTATGAATTCAGTACAGTTCTATTATTATCTCTTTTTTTTCTGATAGGGAAACCAAGGCCAGACAGATTTAAATACTTGCTGTAAGTCATGCAACTTCCAAGTGGTAAATCAGGGTTTAGAACCCATGTAATTTGACTTTGAAATCAGCCTGTACATACTGGCCTGTATGTGTATCTTTAATTTTTCTCACCACTTTCAAAACTCCTATCATACATCTCAATCAATCAATCAATCAATTAATCAATCATATATCTATCTAATTGTTTCGAGAGCAAAAAGTTTGTAAGACGGAGCCAGGCCAGGTGCAGTGGTTCACGCCTGTAATCCCAGTACTTCGGGAGGCTGAGGTGGGCAGATCACCTGAGGTCAGGAGTTTGAGATCAGCCTGGCCAACATGGTGAAACCCCATCTCTACCAAAAAGTACAAAAATTAGCTGGGTGGCGCATGCCTGTAGTCCCAGCTACTCAGGAGGCTGAGGTGGGAGAATCACTTGAACCCAGGAGATGGAGGTTGCAGTGAGCCCAGATCATGTCTCTGCACTCCAGCCTGGGCAACACACCCTGTCTAGAGAAAAAAAAAAGATGGAGTCATACTGCTTGATGTTTATTTTCCTTTTATCAATCTCAGTAATGGCAGTTCTTTTCTATAACTCCTTAGAAAAGAAAGCAAAAGGTCCCTTACCTTCCATCCCATCATCTCATCCCTTATAGCTCAGTTGTCCTGCCCTTCAGTCATCCTTCCCAACCCCTCTCTCGTCACCTCAGGAGCCCTGGTTTAGCAATCATTGTGACTTTGAGGTTGTGAAGTCCTTGCCTACTGAGTTGAAAAGACAAGAGAGTTGTTGATTCCCTACTTCAGGAGTGCTCAAAAGTTAGAGGGAAAAAAACATAGTTAGGAACAGTTATGACAGAGCCATATCTTAGATTAATGAATTGCTTTTGTGTGCTTTCTTGAAAACTTAACATGTAAGAGGTTATTTCCAGTAGCAACTTTTGCATACCAATCAACTTAACATCTGAAATGCAACCCACGAGTAAATTAGAAGGAGTCTATGTTATGTTCCAAAATGATTATAAAAATTCCATTTCTCTACAGCACCTTTAAAAAGTGTTGAATGTTCTAGAGTAAAATGATTTTCCTTATAAGATGCTGGTACATCCCCCTCACACTGTAGACACACACATTCAATAAGTAAAAATAATATGAGAAAAGCCCAGATCTATAAAAAAACACCTGAATTAGAATATGACTTTAAAATTTGAATTTGAGTTAACTATTAAGCATCATGAAAACAGTCTTCCATTTGCACAAAAGCCAATTTCTACATAACTTTTCAGAGTCAGGCTAGTATACGTAACAAGATGAACTACAGATACTTTTGCTAGGGTCACTGTGGAGCTAGACAATAGACAAATACTTTAAAAATCTTTGCTATGTGAATCATAAATAATATGACTGCACAGATTTGTAACATTCCCAAAGAAAAGTATTGGAGAATTTTATTCATATCTGGAAACAAACTTAGTTCATTTATTGGTGTTCTCCATAAAGCGCACACACGCACACACACACACACACGCTCTCATGCACACAAATAGACACATGGTGCTTGATTCGAAATATCTTCTTTTAGGCTTCAGTATCCTCAAAGTAAAGGCCTTTCCTTATTCATGTTTTAATTTATTTTACTATGGCTACTTGTTTTTTTGTCTTACTAAATGTTTGCTGAACTGAATAACACACCTTAACTACATATATCTGGAATTTCTGTTGTGAACTTTATTTAATGGCAAATGGAAACGATTTGTGGGTTTTGTGGGGCTATCATTTTCAATCTCCTGATTTTTGTGATTTTGAGGGGCTGGCCATAATGCTATAGAGTTCTCTGATTTTATTTCTTTGGTACAAAAAAAGCAAAATGAATGAATTGTGATTGAGCCATGGAACCCAGTTGCTTGCATATGTAATAGGGATTCTAAATTACCACATAAACACAGCTGCAGTTTTTCAGTCCGAAGGCCTCGAGAAGCATGCCGACTGGGGAGTGGGGGTATTTGGAGCTCTAAATTTAAGTGCATTATTATGAGCTGTGATAGACAATCATCCCTTCTTATTTAAATCTCTGGGCAACTATAAAACTAGACTGAGTCAAGTTTCTTATCTATGCCCAAATCTGAGCAAGCAAGCTTAGCTCATATCTTAAAAGTTGACAGTTGTACTTTGTGGTATGTCATCAGCTGCTACATTTATGAAGCTACCAGAAGGTTAATAGTTTAGGAACAGTTTATACTTTAATTATCTCATAAAATATACTTCAAGTCATCCAAATTGATATACATCATGCTTTCTTGTAGGGCAATAACTTCACACAGGAAAACAGATGTTTATTTACATATACAGACACATATATACACATTAAAACCTTTGTGCACAAATTTTAGCTTGAAAACAATAAGGAAAGGTAAATTTTAAAATACATTTTCTTGCTAGTTTTCGAATCACTCATATTGGAGGAGAAAATACCTCTACATAAACTTGTTCACTAAATTTGTTATTTAAATTAATTTAACAAGAAATATGTTTCATGATTTAAGCAGTGCTTTCATAAAGTTTATAATTCAGTGCCTTCTTTTAATATGCTTAATAATATTTCAGATATTTTGAACAAAATTAATTAATCATTTATGGAAAATAGAATCCTATGGCTATAATCCCTTAAAGTATTCAATTGAAGCAAATCAAATCAGGAAAGTTTTGCATACAAAATGAAATGAGAACTATCACCGTGCCTTAATACTAATTAAATTAATTCAATAAAATATTGGAATCAGAGTCAAAATGGCCACATTATAACATTGACTCTGATTCCAATTTTTTATTGGATACACAAGATGGAAACCATTGACCTCAGACTGCTGTAAGCCCTCAAAAATGGAACACTTGAGTCTAATTCTGTATTTGTGAAAACTATGTTGTCCCTCATTATATTTTTCCTCTTATTCCTTGGTAGTAAAACTTCTAGCTGTACATATGGCTCCCGAGAATGAAGACTGTGCTCCCTAGCATCCCTTCAGCATCTTTGGGGCTACTGAATAAATTCTGAGCAATGGACAAAAACAAAGTGTTGTGTGGTTGCATCTGGGAAGTTCCTTTATGCTTTGCCCCTTATTTTTCACCCTCCTCTTCCTGATGGCTGGACATTTGTACAATGGCCAGACCTGGAGAAACCATCTTGGGGACCCTTGGGAATGGAGGTCCAGCCTTGGGGAGCAACAAAGTCAGAGGATCCTAAATTTCAAGAAGTAGGATCCTGGAACTTGGGCTTATAGACTTTTAAATGAGAGACGATAAAAACAGAAAGGCCTATTTCATTTAAGAAATGAATAGTTTTTATTTTTCTATTACTTCTAGTCAAACCTAATCCCAATTCCTGTTTGGCTGTGACATCAGATCCTTGTGCAGTGACTGACACATAGGGGGTGTTCAATAGATGTTTGAAGCAATCTGGGAGGTATTCCTGATACCTTCTCCTTCCCCATATCCAACTCAGCATTGACTTCTATCAGTTTTACCTTCTGACATCTCTCAAATCTGTGCACTTGTCTTAATCCCCCTCTACTCATGTGAGCTGAAGTTTGCCTAGACCTTGTCTTGCCTAGGCTACTCAAAAGCCTTCTGAACAGTGTCATCGTATCACACCCTTTTCCGGTAAAAAACTTGTTTTTTGTTTTTTTTAGGAGCCAAATCCTTGACATAGGCTATAGGTCTTATTTCACATCACTTTTAGTCTTGCTATCTGAGTGCCCCATTTCCTTCCCACCTTTTCTGAATTCACTTCTAGGAATCCTCAGGACTCCCCTTAGCACTTATCAGAAAAGACTTCCTTCTGCAGAAAATCTCTCATTATCTTTTTATGGAACCACACATTTCTGTATGTGACATAGCCTGTCTCTCCCAGTAAAATGTAAGCCCCAAAGAGGTAGCCACTGTGGATGTTTTATATACTTTTATATCCTCATTGTCTAGTATGCTGCCTGGTACATATTAGATGCTTAATATAATTTGCTGAATGAATAAATGGTATTGCAAATGCCATTGTTGGGATTTGGCAAATCAGTGGGCTGGCAGTTACTGGGATTTAAAAGACAGAAAGAGAGGAGGAAAGAGAGAAGGAGAGAGAGGGAGAGGGAGAGGGAGAGACAGAGAGAGAGAGAGAGAGAGAGAGCAGTGGCAGGGGGAACTTTTATGTTTACCTTATAAAATAGCCATTTAGCTCCCTAGCTTAGTCAAATTCTAAATAATCTTAACTCCTAAGATTGGATGGACTAAAGTTTGAAGCCTACTGTCTTCCCATCACTGTCCTGAGCCTGACATCTAATAATTAGATCAGCAGTCATCAAAGTGATTCCAAGACCCCTGGTGGTCCTCAAGACCATTTCTGGGGGGTCCATGAGATCCTGCCTTTCCAAGCTGGATACGGTCATATTTTCTTCACATACTTCAACTCAAACAACATACTGCCCCAGATTGAATGCAGAAGCAGTTATGGGACTCCAGTTATACTATTAAACTAAATGCTATGGTTTGAATGCTCACTCGAAAAATCATGTTGAAATTTCATTGGATAAATTAATTGGGACATGGGATCTTTAGGTGGTAGATTAATATCCTTATTGTAGGAGTTGGGTATTTATCTCAGGAGTGGGCTCCTGATAAAAGGATGAAGTATGGTTTCTGTTTTTCTCTCTGCCTTACATGCTTCCTTGTCCTTCTGTCATGTTAGGATGTAGCAAGAAGGTCCTACAGATACAGCCCCTTGATCTTGGACTTCCCAGCCTCTAGAACTATGAGCCAAATAAATTTATTTTCTTTTAAAATTACCTGGTCTGTGATGTTCTGTTATATTAGCAAGAAACGACATTTAAACATTTTGCAAATGTGTAAAATAATGCCTTTTGTTCACTAAATAGTTTCTTGTTTTGGAAAATATAGTTGTTTTTAAGAAAACATGTTCTTTACATTAATACATAAGGATTTATCATCGTTAATTTTAAATGATTAGTAAAAATATTTTAAACATTACTCATTTTCCATTCTAATACTATTGATGCTATTTATAATACCCTATTTATTGATGCTATTTATATATCCTATTTATAATCCTCAGAACCAAAGCTCTTTCGGGTCCTCAACACTTTTTGAGAGTATGAAAGAGTCTTGAGACTGAAGCATTTGTGAACTGCTGCATTGAAAAAATGATTTCTTTGGTTTAAGACTTAGTCTCCTTAATCTCTCAAACTACAAGTAAGTAGGAATGCAGCAGTAGAAAGAACCTAGATTTTTGGCATTAGTCAATGTGGCTTGGAACGCTGGAGTAGCCTTTAACTGGTTGTGTGACCTTGAGGAAGTCAGGTAACTTCTGAGAATCTAATTTTTCTCTTCTTAGGATAAAAACACCTCTGTAGGTTATTGTGAAAATAAAATAAAAACATGAGAAAGCACTCAGCATAGTGTTGGCACATAATAGGTATGTGTTTGGCACACAGAAGTATTAGATTTTATTGTCGACTATACATTGGTGTGAGTTTGTTAATCTTTTTTCAAATAGCTTTTAACGGTCTGGTGATGCAGTGGTATGTGGTAAAAGTTTAGTAACTAGCTCTCTGGAAATAAAGATTCCTGTTTTTTAGAATTTGCTGATTCCCATGCTGTAAATATTCCTACCTTGGCTGATTTTAATGTTTGTTTGGAGGAGATGGACTCAAATCACTTGCGAACAGGTATGAGGCAGTTTCAGCATAAAATGTTCTGGGTCCATGAGTGGAATCTAGAAAGAGGAGACACATAAGGTAGAATAAGAGTCTCAGGACCTGATGGCAAAATTTCGGCTAATTTAATATTTTGCCTCAAGCCTTTCCTTTAATGCTTAGAGTTCCCAGTTTTCTTTTTGGTTGGATTGAATCATTGGTATCACCAACAGGGTGCCGTGAAGACTTTTGTATTCAAGTTATCTGCCACCGAGTCTCATATTTCCAGCAGAAGAGTAACTATTTGGGGAGACATATTGTCCAGATAACCTAGTTAAAATAAGGGATCACTGGCAGATTAGTCTAGCTTAGATGTCACAGGTGTAATGCCCTAAAATGATGCTGCAGAACAGTGGATCTCAAAGAGCGCACCCCAGACAAGCAGCAAGGTATCACCTGGTTGTTGGAAACGAAAATTATCAGATCCCACTCTGCCCTATTACATTGTAAATTCTGGGGGTGGGGCCCAGCAATCTGAGTTTTAACAAGCCCTTCCTAAAGAACCCCTGGTGTAGGAGGGGTGGGAAGACTGCAGTGTTTGGAGCAGGGAGTGATCTGGGCATCCTCAGTACCCCAAGGGAGCCTGGGGCAAAGACAAGCTGAGACTGGGCACAGTGGGTGCTGTTGGTTCCCAGCTGAAGCCCCTTCATTGATCTGGTACTTCCCTCCCCTTCTGTGGTGTGTTGATTGCTAAGGGCCCAAAGATGTTCCCTTCTCTGGAGAACTGCCAGGGCTGCATGACAATAGCTACAAAAGCCTCCCCCTTTGCTTCAAAGTGAGACTAACCCTGTGATGTAGTTCATGTTCCTAGTGGGATAGACTAACGTCAGTTTCCAGTTGAGATGAGAGTCTTGCTCACCCTCTCCCCTGCCCAATTCTGCTCCCCCCACTCTTCTCCTAACAGCACTCCTGACGATAATTGCCTCAGCATGAATCTTGGTCACAGGTTCTGCTTCTAGGAAACCTGACCTGAGACGGGGTTTCAAAGGTAGACAATTCTGGGTTTGTGTCTGGACTTCCCGGCTTGTTAACTATGTGACTTCAGGTTTGTTGGGTAATCTCCCTTGTCTTAGTTTCCTTAGGTGTTAAATGGAGATAATGATGCCCACTTTGGGGGTTTGCTGTGGTAATGAAAGGGACACTGTATAGAAGTCCTCAGCACAGTGCCTAGAGGGTGGTATGGACCGTCCAGAGCCTCCTTTGATCTTTCGCTGACTCGCCTTTTGGCCTTGGGCATGTTAATGTTTTCATGTTGTCTGTTTCCTTTCTGGGGACTCACGATGTGTCTAACACCAGGCTACCTCATTAATAACTAGAAGTGAGAAATATTGTTTCAAGTGGTAAAGTACTTGGCAAAATGTGGAGTGTGGGCACAAAGTATAACGAGCACTAACTATACAACAGAAGGTGGAGATACTGGGAAAGAAGTGTCTGGGAGTTCAGAGGCTGGGAGAGGTGGGTGCTCTGGCCAGAGGCTTCCTGGGATTTTCTTCCCCCACCCCCTCCCAAGTAGCAGCAGCACAGTGAACTTGAAGACCTTGGAAACTGCAACTTGGTTCTGCCCAAGTCTGAGGAGTCTTATAAACCCGGAGGCAAAAAAAGGCAGGAGAGATTGGGATGACTTCCCGCCTATGCCCTGTCTTTATCCAGAGTTCCTTCTTGTCTTTGAGGTCTAGACTCAGTTGTCTCTTCACAGAAGCCTTCTCCAACCAGCCCATTTTACATGCCCTTCTCCATCTCACGGCCCAGTTTTACTATTTTCCCAGCACTTACCTCCACTAGGCAGTAGTTTGTCCGGGTGTTTGCTGAGGTGTGTATAGTCTGTCTCTTGTTGGAACTCCTGAGGGTAGGGGCTCAGTGTGTCCTGCGCCCTGCTCTTTCCCAGCTACACAGTAGGTCCTCAATCAATACTTGGTCTTGGAGCCACTGGATTCTAAGATATTGTTGGTAAGTGGTAAGCGGGTGCAGCCCTTTGGAAACCTCTTGGCCATGTCTACCAAAGCTGAGCAAATGCCTTCGTAAGATCCAGCAATTCCATTCCTATTTATCCACAGAAAAGGAAAAGTGGTCATCAAAAGGCATCTACTAGAATGTTCACAATAGCATTTTTTATAACAACCACAAAACTGGAAGCTACCTATATTTCATTAAAATAGAATGAATAAACGAATTGTAATATATACAAAGGAATACTGTGTACAGCAGTGAGAAACAACCATCTTCAACCATAGGCAAACACATGGATGAATCTCACTAGCATGCTATTGAGTGAAAAGAAACCAGACACAAAAGAGCACATTCCCTATGATTCTATCTACATAAAGTACAAAAACAGGCAAAACTAGTCCTGGTGTTGGAAGCCAGGGTAGGGATTGCCCCAATTGGTGGAAGAGCTGAGGGGCATTGAGGGTGCAGGTCATGTTCTGTTGCTTGGTGTGACTGCTAGTTAAACAGGTGTGTGAAGTTCGTGAACAAGCATCTAGCTGTGCACCAGGCACCTTTGATACTGCAATGAAATATACATTACAACAATTGCATGGGGTTTTGCCCAGGATAGTGTAGCCGGCCTCAATAACATTTCCATTAAAAAAGACCTGCTGGGAGCTTGGAGTCCCAGAGTTAGGAGCTCACTCCTGCAAGATCCGCGCGGCCCCACCCTCCCTGTTCTTCCGACGCGCTGCCAGGCCAGCGAGGGCTCACCGAGCTGCCTAACGCGCAGCGGAGGAGACTCGAGTCCCGGGACCCGGGAGGGGTCGCCCAGCGCTCTCAGCCGGCTCGCAGAGCCAGGGCCGGGCTCAGGGTCATAGCAAGAAACACTCAAGGTGTAAAGCCCGAGCGAATAGCTGGATTCTCAGTCCTGCAGCCTAAGGCAGCCCCTCCAAGCCGTGGGAGCCTGCCGTCCGTCTCCTCACCGGGGCGCCCTTTACTCGGTCACCTGGGGCACGGCCAGGGGCTTCGCCGAGCTTCGGTCCACCGTGGTCGCGGCCGCCGGTCGCCGGGAGCCCGGAGTCGGGACACGGGGGTTGGGGGTGGGTTCCAGTGTCGCGCGGGAGTTCAAAGCCCGGCACTGGCACGGGGTTCCGCCGCCGCAGCCGCTGGAGCCTTGGGCTCCCGCCGCGGGGAGAGCGGGGGGAGGGCGCCTGTCCCGGAGTGACCCGGCGGCGGAGGAAGGGCGGGCCGCAGGCGGCGGGCCCGGGGGACCGTGAGCGGGCGGGCGAGGAGCGGGTGGAGGTCGACAGAGTGGGGGCCACGAGGCCGGCGCCTGGTCGGGAAGAGAGTGGGAGATTCCCCCGCGAGTTCAGACCCGGGACTGAGGGAAGAGACACTTGGAGTCCTGCGTCTCCAAGTTTTGCTCCAATGCCCTTGGCATTGAATGCATGTGTGGCGTCTATCCTGGCTCAGGCGATTTGATGTTTTCAATAGGCCTAACCTCACGAGTGGTGTGCCCGGCCCAGCTGGCTGGCGGCTCCTGTCCCCAAGCCCCCCGCCTTGCACCCACCATTTACGCAGTCACCAGGCCTTTGCACTGCCCAGCGCTGAAGGGGGCGAGCAGAGCCTTAAAGGCTCCATGGAGGGCGGGCTCTTACCTCCTGACTTATTCCTCCTTGCACTGCAGGGGGTACTGAGGTCAGGGGTCCGGTGGGAGGCTGGACTGTGTGTGTGTGATGGGTGGAGGAGTGGGGGGAAGGGAAGTGGGCGGTAGGTTGAGAATCTGTAACAGCAGCACATCCCAGGTTCCACCCCCACCCACAGGGCTGGTCAATCCTCCCCTCTCCTGGGGTCTGTGTGAGAGGAGAGTACAAAGGTCAGATTGTCCAAAGGACAGTGGGTTCTGCTCTGAGATTTAATAGTGAAGGCATCACGAAATGGCCATTGAATTTCTTGATCATCACAGAAGAAAACATACTACTTTGAGTTTCCTGAAGTGATTTTAATTTTCATCTGGGCAGGTGGTGATAAATTCTGGAAACACCAAGGACTAAAAAGAAAGGAAACTGCAGAAAGTGGAGGGCCACAGAAGCAGCAGCTCACAGGCTTTTTCTCAGGGGCTTGTCTCAGCTAGTGTTCCAAGACTAGCAATCCATAAACATAGCTTGCCCTGGGGAGGGCGGAGATTTCACCAATACTACATCTCTTCGATTTTTACCTATTTCCTTTACTTGGTCCTATTTTTACCTGGTCAAAGAAACACCTGTATCGTATACTCAGGTTTTCCCCTTAATTGTAAGTTTCAAAAAAAAAGTCAATAAAAGACAAAATGGGAAGTGTTGAAGCACTGTCCAGAAACTGTAGTAATAGCAAGAGCAATATAAAATAGCAATATAAAAAGAAGGGCAGTGAACTGACCTTAGCAAATTTGCACTGCCACTAATTTGCTAGTCAAGTGACCCTATTTTCCTGACTCTGTTTCTTTAGTAAAATGTGGGCGCTATCATAGGTGACCCCAAATCCTGAAGTTCCTTTGTGTGTGTGTGTGGAGGGGTGAGATTTAAAAATTTGATTCAAATAAATTTCCATTCGCTGTATAGTTCAATATTTAATTCCCTGCCTGTTTTAAGCTGAGGAATAGATGTCTGAACATACATTTCCTCATCCTAAATCCCTTTGATCCTCTCATAATGCTCAAAGTGCAGTGTTGATGTCTGGCAGGCTTTGTGTTCAGTTTGTACCATTTGCAAATGTAGTGAGGATTACAGTGGAATGGAGGAAAGAATGGCTGCAGGATTTCTTGGACCAGAGAAACTCACACTTCTCTTTCCATTTTCACTCTCATTAGCACACAACTTTTAAAAGTTGGCCTGGGCACAGCAACACTTTCACACATCCATACTAAAATCCATGCTAATCTTTCCCATGGGATGTAATTCAATTGAATTGACATTCTAATAAAATACTGGCGAAGACACAATCACAGTTTCCCTGCAATGCATAATTAAAATAGCACTATGCAGTTGCTTACACTTCAGATAATGGCTTCCTACATGTTGTTGGTTATGACATTTCAGGGTTTTCATTTCTGTATGTTAATAGAACATTTAAAAACTATCCTTTTTAGCAAAGTGGGTTATAATCTTAGTTTGTCATTGCTAGGAAGGTGCTAAAGCCTAAGTCTGCTTTCAGATTGGTCTTGGGCAGTAATTTAATGTATCAAAAACTGCCTTCAAATCTGTGCTTTCTGTTGGTAGCTTACTGAGCCCCCTCTCCTACCTTGAAATCATTGGCACAGATATACATGTGCTTAGGAGTGGTTTGAATCTACCATACATACATTTGGGAAGTCTTAACTATCTTCTAAAAGACTAAAGAGTAAGGGATGATTTACCTTGGATAATGACACTCAGATTTTGCTGTTGTTTCTGTTCCAAAGTGTTTTATACTGATAAAGCAACCCCAGTTTAGCATTGCCATTGAGAACACTGTGCAGAAATACTATGCACTTTGGGTTCCTTCACTTCACTTAAAATCTAAATCTTGCTAAATTGTTGATACTCTAGGTTATGAATTAACCGATAGTCAAACTGAACAATTCCCCATTGACAGTTTTTGTTTAATGGCCAAGAACACCTGAAATTTGGATAATGGAGCTGGAAAGGAAGAATGGGCCCCTTTGTGGATTCCTACATGTTTTAGGTAAAGCTTGATTAGTTGTTCCTCACCTATATTCTGGGGCTATTTTTAGCAGTGCCCTTAGCTGGATGTATTTACTCGTGGGGCATAACCTTACTGATACTGTACGTTTGTAATATTAACAATCTCTGACTTAGGAATGTGTTCTGAGTCATAGAACACCTCAGAAAGTGGGTAAAGCTTATTATCGAAGCTGGAAACGGCCACATCATTTATTGAGGCTCAAGGCATTTAAACACTAATGACTCGCACATGAACTCTAAACTAGGTATACCCTCCAAAGTGGAGATAGGTCGTGGCTGCCCAGACCAGTGAGGAGGGGGAGGATTGCACTGTGAAGTGTATTGAAGTATATTCCCTACAACTATTTCTCTTTGAGCAGAGCTGTATATTTAGGTAGACTGCTCTCAGGCAGAATGAAACAAGATGGCGCCCACCACTCACAACCAGGAACCAAACAGCAAAGAATCCAAATTCTGTGTTTACAGGGCTTTCATGCTCAGTAAATTGCATAAGTACTTTTATTACGGTTCTTAAAATTAGAAAACCATGCTCCTATTTTGCTTTCATTTTCCTTTGGGATTTAAATAAAGCACTCCTACCCCCCTGCCTCCCGACCCCAGATCACACCCTCTTTTGGCTGTGTTAACAAAAATTAGGTCCAGGAGACAGAAGGGGGTGCGCATATATGTGGGAACTGTGCAGAGTGAACAGTATTGGTAAAAGAAAATTAAGCTCAAGACAGAAACTAAATAGAGATGTGAAAGAGAAAGGCTAAGCTAGACTTTCAAGCAATTGAACATTTCTCATTTGTTTTACAGTGAGAACCGCTGCCCCACCAGACCAACAGTATTTTAAATGTGAATTCTGTCTCCTTACCAGCTGTTTCAATTAGGCAAGGTAGCTGTGTAACAAATAGACCCCAAGATAAATAATGGCACAAAGAATAGTCAATGATAGTTTTTCTTGGTTGGGGTGTAGTGGTGGCTATTCTCTTTCATGTTGTTACTCTAGGACCCTGGGTTTTCTTATCTGTGTCTCTACTATCCCTTTGATGTAATCTTTTGCATCTAGGTAGAAGGGGCAATGTAGGGTCAAGGGAGCATCTGCTTGAAAGTTTTGAGCTAAAAGTGGCACACATAATTTTTGTTCACCTTCTCTTGGCTGGAACTCAGCCCTGTGGCCCTACCTCCCATGAGAAAGCCTGGGATATACGGCCCAGCTGTATGACAAGGAAGAGAAGGGAACGGAGCCTCAGTGCACAGCCAGCAGCCTGGGCCACATCATGTTATCCCAAATGCGGTAGTCATAATAGCAAATATTTATTAGTGCTTATTATGTGCTAAAGGCTTCATATATATTTTTTTCCCACTTAATCCTCACAACAACCCTATGAGGTAAGAAATATCACTCCCATTTTACAGATGGTAAAACTGAAGTTTGGCAAGGTTAAAAAAAACTTGCACAAAGCCGAACGGCAAATGGAGAGTCAGAACTCATACTTAAGATGCTCTTTGTCTGAGGGGTCAGAATTCTTTTCTAAGCTAGAGAATTGGCCTGGACAGGGAAGCAGAGACAATAGCTCGCAAGTATCTTTCCCTCTTTTGCAAAGAACTAAAGAACTGTTATTTCTTCCTCCTTTGCCAAACCTCCCTTTGGAGATGCTGAGAGGAAAGAGGCTGGTGGAAGAATTGGAGGAGGGAGGTGATTAAATCACCTTAAATCTGTTTTAAAAATCTCCATTTTCAAAAGCTTTCTGTATTTAACAATGCTTGACTGTGAGAGACACCAGCCCCTTTTTGGGGCCAGCAAAGTAATAGAACGCAACTTCTAACAGACTGGCTGGCGTGCTAAGGTAGCAATTGTATTTAAATTTCAGTATCGGTAATTCTAGCTGGAAACACCTAAAGCAAAAGGAAGGAAGGGGTATCAGGGCACATTTTCACTCCTTCAATTGCTCCGGGGGCTACAGATGGAAAGTTTTATGTGACAGAGTTTATTTTTGCAACTTGCAATTTTCCTCTCCTTTGAAAATTAAGGTGGCCTAAAAAAGTTTTATATGTGGGCCAATACAGCAGCAAATTTATGAAGTGAAAAAGTAAAGGTTTTGTGGTGTCATAAGCTCACCCACACTATACATACGTTTATTACTTAAAATGCTCCAGATTTAAGTTTCATTATGGAGCGAGTGTGTTATAAGCAAACTAACTTAGGATTTTAGAGTTTTTGAAATTAAATAGCAGCTCATGGTGCTCATGTAATCTGTTTATTTTTATAGCAATGTTATGTCCTGAAAATAAACAAACAAACAAAAATCAGAGTCTGAAAAGCTTCAAGGTTTGTATGTACCTGAGCACAGAAAGTTAGAAAACATTCACTTTCAATCAAGCCAACATTTTAAAATTTAGAAATTCTTTTAAAGAAAGTCAAAATTTGGATGATTGTTTTTAATGCTTAATTATACATATACATATATATGTATATCCGTAAGCTATGAAAGTCAGTTAACAAAGGCGTAGAAATAGGATGAAAAGTGTTCTTTAAAGGCGATTTTCTAAACTTCCCCACTGAGTTCTGTTTATCCTGACCTGGCAAGGCTGCTGTATTTCAATTCAGGGCTTCTTTTGCATACAGAAGTACAGACTTGCTGAGCTGAGCCAAATCTGTCTATCCAATTACTGGGTAAGAGAGCTGACTGTAGCTTTAGGCAAAACCTGTAATCTGTAAAACTCTATAGTATCAGTGACAGCCTAATCACAGGGAAGAACCAATAGAGTGTATATGTTACTTGAGTGTTACACAGATGCATAGTTCTCTCTACAAATAACCCACTTCAAATCTAACACCAAAGAGCAATGAAATATACAGAGCCTTGAAAAGAAATATATTTTGCTATCTCTACAGTAATTTTTGGATAGAAGGGTTTTCAAAGGGAAATAAAT